ATTGTCTGACGATCGCAAAAGCGTGAAACCCAGGGTGACAAACTCACATCAATCCAACCAAAATATATATATATATATATATATATATATATATGAGCAATTTACCCCACGCAAGGCGGAGTGGCACTAGTACGCAAAGGGTTACAGAGATTGTAACTAAGGGAAAAACACTGGGTATTGAGGGTGTTGATGAAAGGATAGAAAGAAGAACGGAGAAGGATAAAAAGAAGAACGGTGAGAAATAATTATGAACATAATCTGAGTCAGATATTTTTCATCGGCGCACGGTTGAAAGAAAGGCGAATTTTTACGTACTTGCTGAAAGAAAGGCGAATTTTTACGTACTTATTCTGTGAATAAACACGCCAATGACCGACAGTGCTCAATTCCGGGAAGGGGAAGAGCTTTGCAATATTAGTGGTAATAGTTTTTGTTTACAAATTCGCATATATCTTCCAAGAGTGCACAACCGAATTTAAGTTTTTAGGGTGCGTATATATTATCATATATATAGTAGATAAAACGAAGAAATGAGCGAATCTTCAACACGGCTCTACAAATTTAAATAATTTTTATTACCTGCGTATTATTCTTCTTACAAACTGAAAGAAATGAATTACAAAGATTCCTTGCGAAACAACCTCACACAAAATATTTTATTTATCTTTTTTTACAGTACAACCGAATCAGTTGCGTTGTAGAAGAAACAGAATGCGCCTACATGTAAGAATGTGCGTGACACGGATGTACATTGTTTTATGTATGCGTATAAATTGTAGCAGTCGGCAACATGAATAAGATGATTTAATACTACTGTTGACACTCGTAAACAAACTTAGTCTGTGTGTTTTTATGCGTCAAAATTGCTAAGCATTTTTGTAATATAATATACTCGAATAAATTTGCGAAAATGTGAGTAATTAATTAAAGTGTGAGAATTTCAGTTTTGTATAACAAAGGTTAACTGAAAAACTAATTAGCTAATTGGTCACTTTTAGAACGAAACATCGGCCCCAGAAAAATAGATTCATTAATCTTGCTTAATAAATATTTTCCAAATTTTTAAATATTTATTTTAATGAGATAAAATATTGTTGATCATATTCTGAAGTGATCATCCAAAATTTTCGGAGTAAAATTTTTTCTCACTGACACCCCGTCCATTTGTCAGAGGGTAGTACATTTAGGCAATAAGAATTTATTTTAACAAGAAATATTAAATTCAATGGACAAGTTTGTTTATTATCTGATTGTATCTGTCCAGTTTTTGAACTCCTTTCAAATCAAAATTAAAATTGCCAATAAACTGTCCAAATTTAAACTTTTTGTTCAAGTGCGAAAGAAACATTCATTATTTTCCAATAAACCATTTTCTTCATTAAACTATTTGCTGTACATACGATTCACCACTGAAGATGCTGTTAAAATGGCATCGCTCCAGCAAGTACCCAATTCCTTTGCAAAAGTCAGATCAGGCTAAAAAAATGGAGTACTGCTGCCATATATAGGCAGAAACTGTATTCAGTTTCCAAGAGAGAGAGTGTCTAAACGTTTCACGGCATTCTCGTGGAGGGGGGGCTAATTATCTTCCACCCGACAACACCTTTCTCACAGACAAAACATTGCAAACCACTCATGCTCAGACGAACTACATTCCTTAATTCCACCAGTTTTAAACTTCCACTCGAACAGCTTCTTCTCATGAACTGCTGCTTTGTGGAACCGACATCCAAGGGGATGCTTCCCTGATCACTACGATCTTAACCTGTTCAACTCTAGGATTAAAAGTTATCTTCTCAACATATCCGCATAAACATGGTGACATTCCATCAACAACGACCCAGAAATTTCACCAATCGTGATGACTGCTCTCTCAGGGAGGCCCCTTGCCTTGAGCGCCTCTAGGGACTTTAACTCAACACAGATCTTAAGTGAAAATCGTACATACGATCCATCGCTAAAGATGCTGGGAAAATACTCAGATCCCTGTACCGCTACAGCAAGTACCTGACTCCTGCTATCTCCTCTCCTTACAAGTGCTGCCGTCATATATGGGCGTGAGTTGACCAGTCTTCCCTTTCCATTCTCCATAAAGTGAAAAAGTGTCTTCGCGTCCTTGAGGGTGATGAACTATTTTTCACCCTACAACACCTTTCCCTCAGATGAAACATCGCAAGCCTCTCGCTGCTCTATCGCTATTGTCATGGGAAGTTTTCAGATGAATTACGTTCTTTAGTTCCACCAGTTCTCACCTTCACGGTTAAGACCCATTGTAGCGAACCACCCTCCTCCTCCTTTTGGTAAGATGTAAATTCCCCTCGAGCAGCTGCTTTGTGGAAGAGACTCCCAAGAGGGTATTTTCCCGATTATTACAATCTTGGCCAGTTCATGTCTAGGGTCAACCGTAATCTTCTTCACAGATCCCTATAGACTGTGCCTTTTACTCTGTAACACTCTACGTTGAGTGGCTGTTTGGCCTTGTACAGGATAAACATAATTGTAAAAAAAAAACAAAGAACAATTACCAAGATACGTGACACTTTTGCAGAGAAACACCCACAAATCATGTTTTTTCTTTAAATTGAAAGCG